AAGCCATAAGAAAAATATAGATTGTTAATCCAATGACACAAATATATTATTGGTGAGCTGTTAGTCCAATTATTTAAATTATCAGGGATAGGGCTATTAGTAATGTGTGGAACAATATGCTCAATGTTGGTGCCCTGAAGCCTTCCACAAGCTTTAATTATTTCCTGTTTGATTTCATCGTTAAGAAAAGTGTACGCTGGGACAATTTCATTAAATGCAATAATATATCCTCTTTTATATTCACAAAATTCTTCCATCCAAACCATCAATTCATGACCAGAAGTAATTCTTTGACCATTATCCAAATCTTCTATTGTGAAAATATTATCAAATGGAATTTTATCAAAAATATTAGATTTTCCTAAAAAAATTTGATCATTAACCCAATAAAGATTAGCTTTTAAAGTGTCAATGTCTTGCATAAATGACTTTCTGTCTTTAGGACATGCAGATTTGATCCTAAGTGCGCCACCAATAACAACTTCTTTAGGTATATAATCGCCATATTTTTCAAAGACTTTTTGAAGAGCTTTGCGAATAGATTTCTCATCATGATTTTTTAGTACATCTTCGATTGCTTTACTAAATCCTTCAGATATTTCAAAATTTTTATACTCAATTTTAAGAAGCCGAATGTGCAAACAAATATCAATTTCTTCCAATTTTTGAATAGAAACACTTTCATTTTTCAGAATGTCGAATGGATTGCTAGGTATGTTTGTATAAATTTGAACATATTGTTTCATTTCTTGAGAGATTACCGTTCCATTCTCTGTGAGGATTTCTTCTCCATGAATGAAAGTATTACCGTAAACTTTCAATCCTTTGTGTAAATTCCATTGCTGTAAAAAAAAACTTGCTTATATGTTCCTGAGAATATTGAGAATTTGTTTGCACATTGCTTGAATCATAATCATCATTCCATGTTTCAACAACTGTTTCAACAGCCGTGCTTCCTCCAAACACGCTAGGTGCTGCTGACCGAATTCTCTCAAATTTCAAATTATAATCAATATCTTTATAATAAATATCCTTATCTAGTTCTGATGATATGACATCATTTAAATCAACATTTGCAAGCTTTTTCAAGGCCATCAAACAATCTGGGCGTTTTTCTTAAAAAGAGAAAGACAAATATGTCTTATTTAGTTCATTGTATGAAATGCCTTTGAATAAATAAATCAACATTGATATAGAAGGCTTAAAATTTTCTTATAATAGTTTATATGCTCATAAGTTCTATGAATTCAATATGCTTATATCACTATAGCATTAAAAAAATCTTAAAGCACGTACCCGGATAATCATGCCAGCAGTCTTGATATAATTCATAATATTTAATAGGTGTTCCATCAACAGGTTCTTCTCTTTCACCGTTACTTATATATTCAACCATTTTTTGGGGTGTTAAGTACATATAAGGTCGGACACCACTAGAAATTTGCCAGAGTAAAACTCCTAAACTGTAAATGGTCGATATCAATCTATTTAAAAAATTGCCATATATGCCGCGAGAACTTTTGATAAATCCTTTTTCCAACGTCAACTCTTGAGGTTCAATGTAGGGAATGTTTTCAAAATCATCCGATTTAAATATGCTTAGGCCTCCAAAGTTTGTCAATTTTAGAACATGATCGTGAAGGAGGACATTCTTTGGATTCTGGTAGTTAATATGAAAAATTAATTAACCGGATTGCTTATTATTATTTGTTTCAAATAATGCAACAATAACTACTATAGAATACAGAGTTGATTCTGAAATTGAAAGTAGAATCTTTATTGATTTGCATATTTATACATACAGTCAAACCTCTCTAAGTGCGATTTGTAGGGACCGGGC